TCACACAACCTTCAACAATAACCAAACACCATACCATATATTATGCTATAAAAGGTCCCGGTATAACAAACATGTGAATTCACAAGAGAAAACCAACTGCATGATTAATGTGCATGTACCAACATGACTAAGTCAGAGGTTGTGTCATTGTAATTGTCGTTGTCTATCTAATAATGATTGGATAACTGCAGACTTTAGATCAAGTCGCTCAAGACATGTTGTCGTTAACTTTCCGTCCAGAACTCATACGAGATAATTACAGTTTTTTACACATTCATCAAGTACGTGCTTCCTGGTAAACGTATGCCTGTCCCAAGCCAGGAGCCTGTAACTCAGTGGTTGTCGTTTGTTGCTGTATATCATATTTGTTTTTCGTAAATTGTTTAGAACATAAATCAGGCCGTTAGTTTTCTCGTTTGATTTGTTTTACATTTGTCATTGCGGGGTTTTTATAGTTGACTATGCAGTATGGATTTTACTCATTATTGAAGGCCGTACGGTGACCAGTGAATTGCCTTGTCTTTTTATGTATTACATTGGTTGACTTTGTGTTGTCTTCATGCCGTTGTCCTAATTAAGAAATGTTCTTTCTACATTTGTTACCGGTAATTTGACATGACTGAACAAAATGCCAGATTAAAAATTGTGATACTATTTGTTTCCTGTTTGTTATACGGTATTACTATTTGAAGGTTGAAGAATCATTCCCAACCTTTCATATGAAGTCATTGAATATCAACTGTGTAACGACGAATAGTTAAGTATGGAAGAAGTACCAGGTGAAGATGGAAATGAAACTGGTCAGTATATTTCTGAACCACATGTGAATGGCAACCAATTCGAGCAGTTGACCCAAAAAAACTGAATTGATACAAATCAATTCTACAAAACATTATTATTTGGTCTACCTAAATTTAATTTTAAAAAAAGAGAGAAAAAATGATATGCATATGCAGTGGTTAGAAAATGAGGTGTGGACTTTAAGATGATCTAGGGGGTTTCTGAGCATAACGGTTGAATGTGCTATAGCTCAAATAAGAACTTTATGTTTTCTCTCCACTGCAACACATTCTGATGCCCAAGCTTTTTTGATAGACTTGAATTAATTGATTTTAATTTTTAAAAAGCTGATTATTTCCTTGCAATGTCTCACCGCTACACAATGATTTTTAAATTTCCTTAGCAACCAATATATTTAAAATTAATCATTTGATTTTTATGTACTAGTAGTCTCTCCTATAATCTGAGTAAAATACCCATGATCATCAGTGTCCATTTAAAACGATTCACTGTTTGCGTTATTGAATTATAAATAACCGCTTCATTTTCCTATTTTTACCTATTTTTCAAAAAGGGGGTGACATTTGATTGCTAATATTTTTGTTACTATTCAAATTCAAAGCAACATATTTTATCTATAATTAATTTAGACTTAAATGATTATGCAACAACCAAAATAAAAGAAACAAAAGTGTTATCTTTAAAGATACTAGTATATGCCAATGAACTTTGACATTTTTAAGCAAATAAGAATTTTGGAAAGTTTTCAGAGTTATCTGGCTTTGGCTAACTTCAATTAGTCTGATTGTATTGTCAGGTATGGTTATGAAAATGTTCTTTTGTTATGTGTTACATGTAATGCTTTTTAAAATGTGTTTATTATAATAATAAATATTATTTCAAAATATACTTGGTTTGTGTATTTCTTTTTTTTTTCTTTTTTGGTTTTCATCCGAAATTTGAAGAGTTTAAGAAAGCGCCACCTACCCCAAAGATATATAAATAAGACGTGAGAAATATTTTTGCGATAAAGTATTTGGATTGCATATGCATTGTTTGTATGAAAGTGACTTTTTATATATATTGAGCACAATAAATATCAATAAACCTAACCTGATTTTGTAATTTGCAGTGGAAATAACTTGATCGGTAAATAACATTGTTTTTGTTTTTAATATATTAAATTATAACATATAACTTAACATGCTTTTCTATACATAATGGTCCAACATCCTGTCGATACTTAAATTGCGCAATGATGTGGTCATACTTTTCTCAGACAGTTTATGATCTTTTCACACTATATATATCCGTTTGATGTGTACTGATTAGTCATGGGGTGCACGTGATTTGAATTAAAAATGCAACGTCACTTAATTAATTGTATCTTTAAACAACGCCGAACGAAACGGACATTTGTGTTGGTATTGCTTTTTAGAAAATCAAATAAAAACGTTCCTAAGTGCGTTACATGTATCTGTAACATTTTTAAACAGTTGGTTTGCTTTAACGTTTTGGCTTCATCAAATCAAAATTGTTGCCTTCCGAACATGTCTTATTCATGTATGTGCGCTTCGAAGTGCAAACGTTCTAAATTTTCCTATTGGAATTGAAGTAATTTTATCATTACATGCTTTCATTTCAACATGCATTATATTTGTCAACATTGTACAACTCGCTTACGCTCGATATACATATATGACTATGTTAAAATGAGCCAAGAGCATAACATTACATTTTTTTAATTTTTAGTATCGGAATACACGGCTAATTTATTAGTTGAAACTGGCGTTGACTGACTAGCTTTTAGTAACTGCTTCGTACCCTTTGCTTGGTTCTTTGTGCCTCTTGACTCTTTGTTAAGTTCATCGATGTGATTCGTGTCAATTTAAGCAGTCAACCCTTTCCAACTTTCTAACTATTTTTTTCCGTTTGATTTTATGTTCTGCTGTTCAATTACTGCTAAAAAATACCAAAACAACACGTAACAAATTTCAGGCGTCCGAAGCGCTTTTCTGGATTTACCTTCATCAGGAAAGCTCACAGCTGATTATTTGAAACCCAATGATGTATAAGAATCGAAGCAGTTGAAAAGCGAAATGACTGAAATGGACTTAAACGTTATTAGCCAAATCCATCTAAGGTCAACTTTGCCTGAGGGAGTCAGAGGATATTTGAGCGGTAACACACATGTTTAACCCCGCCACATTTTTTATTTCCTTATTCCAAGTCAGAAGCCTGTAATTCAGTGGTTGTCGTTAGATGCTGTCTGCTATTGTTTTTTTTTTTAATAAATAAGTTCATTGTTTTACCCGTTCAGCAGTTCGTTGATTTTCTCTTTAGAATTGTTTCATATTTTGTAATGCCTCAGCCTTTTTATAGCTTACTATACGGTATGGGTTTTGCTCATTGTTGATGATCATTCATGGTTGTTTACATCCTTGTCCTATAGTTGCTGGTGGATGGTTGCCTTATTGTCAATCTTACCACATCTCTTTAGTTGTTTATATTCATATTGACCAGCTTGCGGTACAACGCGTGTAGCATGCATAGCAGGACATGAAGAAATGAGAACCAAACGCAGGAGAGATGATGTATTTTGCTTTAAGCGATCCCGATGGAGGTTAAACAAGAAATGTGATCCAAACGCGGAAGAAATCAAGATTTTATTTGATATGTGTATGAAGGGTTTTTTAGTGTCATTTCGGCCCATTGTCACCACGAATGTTTATCGCCGAATCTCGGCGCCTTCATTGATCGGTTATCTCTAATGATGTACATTATGTTATACTGAAAATCCATTATAGTTTTTAATGCATAGAAATCATAGTATTATTTTATTCCATAATTATGATATATGCCGTACTGTCGGAATGAAATGTCGTGTATCTATTTTGTAAATAATAAAACTATGACATCTGTTTTCTTTGGATAATCGTCGAATAGTTTGTATATAATATTAAATCTGCACAAAGTTTAGACTTGGCATTGGTAACAAAATCTGGATGGTCTTTATGATCAAATGATACTTAAAAACATTAAGATGAATGAATATTAATGCTGTACACCTATGAAAATGCACGGTCCTACATTCTGTTGATACATTTATTTTGGCATTACACAATGTCATGTTTTTTTCTGACAGTTTATAACGTCTTTATACTAAATTCATTGGAAGTTTGATGTGTATTGATTGATATTAGTCTAAGATACATGACTTTTTTATTAGTTGTTATTGGCTTTGAACTAGCTTTCAGTAACTGTGAGTAATCTCAGATCGGCGATTGTGTCTTTTGTGTTTTTGTTAGTTGTTTTCGTGCTTTAAACAATCTGATGAGTTAAATTAAGCCCTTTTCAACTGATTTTTTTTTAAATTTTGATCTTATTTTGTGCTGTTACACCGCTGTTCTATGTTAGGGAGGGTTTGGCTCCCGCAACCATATTTAACCCCGCCACATTATGTATATGCCTGTCCCAAGTCAGAGCCTGTAATTCGGTGGTTGTTGCTCTATATCCTATTTATTTTTCGTTTCTTGTTCATTGTACATATATCAGGCCATTGTTGTCGTTTGAATTGTCTATATTTGTTGTTTGGGGGTCTTTTATAGCTTTCTGTGCGTTATGGGTTTTACTCATTGTTGAAGGCCGTACGATGACATATAGTTGCTTACTTCTATGTCATGTAATCTCTGGTGGAGGGTTGTCTCATTGGCAGTCATACCACATCTCCTTATTTTATACTGCAGTTAATTATGAAGTTCTCATCTGATAGAACGACACGTCCCAATGGCGACTGCAAAACTTTGACGAGATCTTATATTTTTCTAGACAAAATGTAACTTTGAAAAAGAAAGACGACAATGACAATGACATGACTAAAAACTAAAAATGACCAAATGACAAACAACAGTGCACAAAACACAACATAGAAAACTAAAGACTGAACAACAAGAACCCCACAAAAAAACGGTGATCCCAGGTGCTCCGGAAGTGTAAGCATATCATGCTACACATGTTGCATTCTTCTGAGCAGTTTGACTGAGCAGCTTATTTGTCTGGTATCGAAAAAGTGGAAAGTGAAGATAAAAATAAACAGGGTAAGATTTGCTTTCGTTTAAACCATTTCTTACGATTTGATAAGGTTTGACGCTTATCAATACAATAAAGAAGTATTATCTGCGTTGTATATAAGATAAATTCAGGAATTGACAATACAACAATAACGTGACATTATATTTATTTTGAGAGAAAAAAAACAAGTTCTTCAAATTGGTTGTGATCCAACATGTTCTTTAAATCTCTTCACCACTGATACTATGTCTCATTGCACATCTCTGTTAAAAGATCAAGTGGAAATAAATCGCATAATGAATTATAACAAGTCGATGTGTCTGGTCGAATCTTTGAAATAAGGTATTGCTGTATCAGAGCAGATCGACACGAAGCGCAACAAAATAAAACAAAACCAACAAAAGACAAAAGAAATAAAGTATCAATCTGAGAGTACATACAGTTACTGAAAGCTAGTTCAAAGCCAATATCCTATAGAATAGATAACCTATGTCTTCCCTGATTTAGTGTAAAGATGTTATACACAGTCCGAGAAGCACATAAACTGGTGAAATGCCGAACTATAAGTATAGATAGGATGAAGGATCATAAAAGTTAGTAGCTGTATAACAATGCATATTAAGTTATGTTTTAATTTATGAAACACATAATCAATGCTGAATTTTAGAACCAATAAAGACAATAATCAAAAGTCTTACTACAATGTTGAATTAAACACATTTCGCAATATGTTTGCGCAAAGGAGTAATTGATGCTCGTTGGCAACGAGGTATAAGTGTTACCCTTGACCGTCCGTCCGTCCCATTTGTGTTGCCGCACTCTAACTTAAGATTGCCTGATTCAAATTTTATGAAACGCATACACCATGCCGGGGATCATAACGTGCAGACAGGGTTCGAATTTGGGCAGTGAGTCACTTATCGTTCTAGAGTTATGCTTCTTTATAATTTGGAAAATTGCAAAGTTTGAGCGAGAGCATTTGTGTCCTCAGACACATTCCTCTTTTATTTTTACATATAACAGAACGACCTGGCCAAGAATATATGTGTATTCGTTTTACTTAACCGTTTGATATTTAGCATTTGTTTTGTTTACCAACTGACCTTTCACTGGTAATAAATTATGGTTCTTTAATAAAAAAAAAACCAAACAAACAAACTATTCACACAATTAGGATGATAAGCTGGGTTAAAGTTACATTGCACTTTCCAAATCTATTTCATTTTTAGCCCTATAGCTACCAGTTAGAATTAAGTTATGGTAAGCCAAACGTTTGTAGATTCTTATTTTGCATTTACTTAAATAATCACCATTTTTGTCAATTAACAACAGAGTCATTCTTTTTTGACTGATTAGCCAAACTAGCTGCCTCATCTCTACTATATCCATAGGCCCAGTACATACACGTAAGTTCTTCCTCTGTTACTATGTCGTCATCAAATTCGGGACTGAGGAGAAGATTTCTACATTCGTCGGTCACATCCTGTCAATATATAATGCAATATTAATATCATTTTGCGCAAAAGTAGTGAAATGAATGTCTTTTTCTTGTAACTACTTGTTAAAATAATCTGATTGTATAAACAACCGAGATGTGAGAATATACGTTATCGGGATAGCACCCCAAGACACAGAAAACCAAGAGACATCCATAAGAAAATCTAATTTAATGGAATAGATGCACTCTACCACGTCACAGACGGTGAATTATCTAGTGAGAGTACATCACATACATGTCAATTGGTGTATTTAGAAGTAAAAGTATAAGGCTTAATTTGTTGTTTTTTGTTGCGCCTTCTTTCTGGTAGAGTTTTGAAAGCCTAAAATAAAATAAATTTACACCATATAATTCATAAATCATTTGATAATCAAGAATTTACGATTTGCTTGGTGAAGTTTGAACTTTCATCATAATTACGCATACCCTTACTCGTTATTTGGTAAAAAAAAAACCTTCAGTCTAATCTGTTGTGTAACTTTCTAGAAATAAAAATATTACAGAAATAATATATTAATGTTGAAAAATGTTCTTTGTGTGATTTTCCTCCTTGCTTGCTGGTAGGTAGTTTTCAAAATTTGACTTTTTGTTTTCAAGATTGTGTAATGTCATATTTTTCAATCATAAACTCTTATTCTAGACAACTAACAGAGAAAATGATTTGAACATCGTGTGATTCAAATATTTTACCCTTATTATTACAGTGTGTATAAATAGAAGCATGTTTTCAAATACGAAATAAGTTTCAATCTGGAAGAAATAACAGAACTAACATACGGTACATTAAATCTTACAAAGTCCAAAGAAAGTATTTTTAAAATCCATGAAAATATGAAGACTATATTAGTTTTTACCACTATTTAATGTTTATTTATGTAAAATATGTTTTACAAGGACCCTGCAATCCAGTTTTCTGTCCCCGACTTCCTCGACAAGAGAAGTGTTCTAAATGTTCTGAAATATGAATCAAGAGCAGCTTTAATTAACATTAGGTAGAACATGTAGAACTGTTCTACCATAGAACAAATTTTTTCAAGAGTTATACCCTTGAACAGATCATGACAGTTCAACCTAGAACTGTTGAAGTGTAAAACTATTCTAGAACAGTCTAGACCGGTTCTTGTTAAACATGTTAGAAGTGATCCCAAATGTAGTTAAAATAAACACTCCCCCTAAAATTACAAATTTATTTTCAATAAAAAAAACACCATGTTTATATAAATGTAAGGATGCCAGTGAATCAACTATCCACCTAAGACCAAAGGACAAGGATGCAAGCTGTTGTTAGGGAACTTTATGTACGACTTATAGAGAGGTTTTACCTACGGAGTAGTCTTTGTCCTTTCGCACGTACATGATTTTTAACATCCTTGTTTTTAAATTCTCCGTTGATAAATTTACAAAATAAGGTTCCAACTCCTCAAAAAAAGTTGATCTCGGATGAATACGGCTATTATTTATATATCCCTGGTGATATAGCTTCTCTCGTATTCGGGTATTTATACATTCTCGGCGTAAAATTTTAGGGTTTGAGCGTTCCGGTTGAATATATATATCCTTCGAACGCACTAAAGAAAGAGTTGTTTTCATATCTTAGTACAAGATATCTGTGTCTACGTTTGACATAGTTGGGCTTATTCTTCATTGTTTTTTTTTCCTAATCTGTCTTTAGGTTAAGAATAAGGAATACGTTTATAAATTATGGAGCAATCAAATGTTTATACAATTATACCGTAAAAGAAGGATAAACCGTCGTCGCTGTTGCATCCATTAAACGTCTATTGTATACAATATAGAGGAATTTTTGGAGGGAAATAATGCTCTCTTACACCTAGATAGCTGTATACATTATTGACATACTTTTGCTGATTATCACGAGTTAGTTCAATTTGACTCACCTCATCTTTATTTGCCAGTAAAATGTTACTCCAGAACAGCATGTTGCATATAAGGAAGATAAAATGCATTTTTTCCTGTAATGGACATGTATATCATCAATAATCAGGAATAAAAGGAGAAAAATAACAATGTATATAAGGAATAAGTCAATGAGACAACAGAGGTAATTATACAAAAAATTCCAAAAGGAAAACTTGAGCGATCAACACACAGCCTTAAATAATAGACAGTTGTTTTTTCTTCTTCTTCAAAATATCAATCCCTTAATCGCCTCGACTCTTGAAGAAGGGAATAAATTTAACAAACTTTTTATTAAAGATATACATGGTAACAACACCAAATCCCCCAAAAGGTTTACGACAAAGTAACAACCAATAACAAGGTTCCTTTTTTTAAAATTAACCATCACAATTTGATTTCGACTGGTGAACTAATACTTGGCTAAAAGAAGACTGAGATACTTAAATCAGTAAAGAAAATATCACTTAATTCGAAAATAACGGTATTATAGATAAAAGAAACATAATTAATAACAATTTCAAAATAACAAAACAATAATAAACAAACGTTATTATACTGTATCAAAAAAGCTCACAATGTCTGAAAACAAACTAAAAGTACTTATTCTACTGATATAAATGCATGCCGTCCTGCAGTGTTGATTTATGATTTCTGCTGACATGTTTTATTTCTAAAATTTGACGTAAAGAATTAGACAATGGGGAGATCATTTCTGTGATCACTGAATATTTAAGTTTATATGATTTGAAACTGTGTAAATAATAAGTTGCATGTACAACCAATTTAAAATAAACTATTTACCCTTTATATATAATGTTTCAGTATAATGCAGTACACAAGTTATTCAGTCTACTTTATTAAACTTCATAGTCGGAGTAAACAGTCATTAAAATCGGACTATAATATTGCAGTCATCAAAGTTTTAAACATAAATGCTTTTAGGTAGGTTGTACACGTCTGTAGATACGTCCAGATGTAAAGGCATTAAAAGGCTCTCAGGATATTACAAAAGACAAAAAGACATTAAAACAACATTCGACGACGACGATAGCATTGTCCTGCTGCTGACAATCTTTGATCTCTGGTGATCGTAACACTTCAGCTCACATTATCTTTCCAAGAACGTTAAATATACATGTTTAGTAACAAACAAAGAACAGTTTATGACTGTGACGCTAAAGGAGACTGATACTTACGTTTTGGTATGGATTAAACTAAGTTAAGCCTCATATATCCTGATAATATAAACTATTAAATGTGCACATAGGACACTATGTAGGCGTGTTTGAAATGTCATATTATACACTGATACACTTTAACGTTTACATAATCAATAAATTATAAAAGTGTGATATGAAAGCACTAATAATTCTAATATGTGGCTAATAAAGTATTAGCTGTGATTTAAAATACAATTGAGATTTGTTAAAATCTGAACATGCTAGATTTTGTTCATTGACAACGGCAATAAGGTTAAATGTTCACATCCTCGTCCTTCAAATTTGGTCTACGTTGGTTAGTTGTCTCATTAATAATCATACCACTGACATTTCTTTATTTCTAAATTTAAATATAAATAGATTCTTTATTTTTTGCAATTTTATCTAAAAATACATGTCTCGTGTTGTACAACCCCCTATTAAGGAATTACTGGGGTATAGAAAAAATGTCATCCATGAGCTTCTCCCATCCAGCTTTGAAACCCTTGGTAAAAACGGACATAATTTTAGTTATACGGGATGTATAAAAACGCAACCACGATCGGTTGGAACGGTAGCAATACATCCGATGCCACTTTTAGGGAGAGTACCTAACTATCTGCAACAGCTTTTCGTGATGTAAGTAGCCTGTTCCAAGCCAAAATGTACATGTATGACCCTCTCCAATATACCTCTTCATTTTTCCTTGAGCAGTCGAAATCCAGAAATCCATGCTCTTTATCCCGGTCGGGCTATGTTGTGAAATCTACTTTTTATTTATTGTTTATTTCTTCTTGTTCTGAAAATATACGAAGAACTACTACTGGGCGTTATGCAAACATAAATCAATGATTAAATTATATTATATATTGGTGCGAAATGTCGATGATATACACCAGCTAAAAGATCTTATTTCCAATGACAAACTAAATATTTTTTTATACATGATGTAAAAGTCTGTTTAATCTTGTGATCGAAGTCAAACTAGCTTAAATATATCAATTCAACCCTTAATTTACAAGATATATTTTATTTATTTAATTTATAGCTGGTGGAATTCAATATAAAAGGTCGTAGTCACAGTTCGCTATTTTTTTATTTTTCTAAACGACTTAAATTTTCCAAGAAAAAGTAATTATTTATCTAAACCTTTTTTTATTTTAAGAATCAAATGATTTCTTTAGTTTTATGCTTCCAAAACGATTTAAATTAACATCGAAAGATATGATAACCAGTCTATAAGAAATAGAAAAATAAAATAATGTACCCCCTCTAAAAGTGAGGGCTATATTGCATTCACCTTCTCCGTAACTCAGTTGGTCTGCCTGTCCGTCCGTTCGTCCAACAAATATTTCCGCCACACTTTTCTCAGATACTAATAAACAGAATGATTTTTTATATCATGTATATGGTCAACAACTTGGCAGTTGTGAGGTCTAACGTTTGAGTATTTTTCGGATCTGCCAGCCACCTACTTCTTCTTTGACGATACTTTAATATTTTCAAAATATTAAATGAACTTAAAATATTTCGACACACTATTCTGAAGTACTACCCATGCAACAGAAAGACTAAAAACTTGATCAGCAGCGTGGCCGTGATGAGTTGTAACGTGTGAAAATTTTTCAGGTCTGTCGGACACCTACTTCCTGTTTGTCGATGCTTTGATTTTTTTAAGCAAGCCGGGCTTCAAAGTTTTTCAACCACAGGAATGTTATAATACCATGTAGGGTCCTCATCACAGAATATATCTTTCGGTCTCTGCCATAGTTTGTCACACGCAGGATTTAATTTATTTAAATACTTTTCAAAGGAGGACACGGGACAACATTCAGAACCGGAATTTTATGGCATTATGTCAGAAGTTTTTTCTTTGTCACTGCTGCGATGGTTTTTTGTCAGCTCATCCAAAGTTTTAAGTATTTAAGCCCCGTCTTCGGATCTTTGTTTACAGAAGACGTCGATTTTGTCATTTGTGGCATATTTTTCATTCCTCGTCGACTAAAATACAAGCGAATATCGAATTGAACTACTTTGGTTTACTTGGTGATAGATATATTGAAGCATCTTTCCTTCTGTCAGCTTCGTCAATAGACGGATAATGCTCGACGTCTCTTAAACCCACGCGTTTCAGTTCTGCCATTACCGCTTTGAAATATTCTCTGACACTAACACTTTCATCATTCACATTGTCAATTTTGTTATTGTACGGTGGAGCCTTTGCATATCTATTCAATGAATATCTCAAGCACTGCAGTGAATTTGTTTTATATTGATTTCCATCAGCTTTCCGTGTAGTTTTAATGTGTCATGATGTTCGAATCCTAGATCCATTTTCTTTTCTTTTAAATACTCCGGGTAAATAGAAGCAGCTGTTTTATTCTGCTCTTATCAGCACTCATTTTCAAACGGTTTTTTTTCGATTTCTTCATCAGTGGTATCGACAAATCGTCTTTTACCAGGCTCCAACTTAAGACATCAAATATGCGCTGCACGAAAAATCAATAGATCATCGTGTTACGCGATCAGTTGGCGGAACATACACATTTAAGTCAGGGATTTCGTTACCACAAATTAATTTAAACCTTTACTAAATTCTTCTATAGATATAAAGATTTGGTTTTGAAGCTTGATTGTACCTGTAGAAAACTTATTTCAAACGGGATAGCACATCGTCATTTTGACGGAGATGTTGTTTACCGAGGCCGGAAATTTAGAAACGATCCGGGTAAACTTATTCTAAAAGGTTACCAATTCAACACTGTAATTAGATCTTTGAATATTGTTTTATTGGTATTAATATTGATTTTGTTATCAGTGAATTAAAATCAAACTGAATATTATTTTTATATATATATGCAAATTCATGGCTCTACAATCTGTCGATACCTGTATCTTGGCATTGCACAAAGTCATGTTTTTCTCTGGATGTTTATGACGTCTTTACACTAAATCCATTGGATGTTGTATGTGTCCTGATTGATATTTTAGTTTTAGATGCGTGACTTTTTTTTTAGTTGTTATTGGCTTTGAACTAGTGGCAGTAACTGCGAGTACTCTCAGATCTTAGATCTGTACTTCGTGTCTTTTTGTTGTGGGGATGTATAAGTACCCTGCCACGTCCACTTTTGTTAGATGCATTGTATTTCTATTTGTATCCTGTTTAACCTCGCCACATTCTGTATGTGCCTGTCCCAAGTCAGGAGACTGTAATTCAGTGGTTGTCGTTTGTTGCTGTGTAACATATTTGTTTTTCATTCATTATTTTGTACATTAATTAGGCCGTTAGTTTTTCTCGTTTGAATTGTTTTACATTTGTCATTTCGGGGCCTTTTATAACTGACTATGCGGTATGGGCTTTGCCCATTGTTGAAGGCCGGACGGTGACCTATAGTTGATAATTTCTGTGTCATTTGGTCTCTTACATACAGTAAAGCACACATAACACAGTTACAATAAAGCACTCATAATACAGTTACAGTAAAGCACACATAATAAATAGTTTCAATCAGGCACATATAATACATAGTCACAATAAAGCATTTATAATACATAGTCACAATAAAGCACACAGAATGCATACATGTAGATACAATAAAGAATACGTAATACATATTTATAACAAAGCATACATAATACAAAGTTACATGTACAGTAAAGCACACATTATACATAATTACATGCAAGATAAAGCATACATAATACATAGTTACATGTACAATAAAACACACATATTGCATAATTACACGTAAAATCAAGCACATATAATTACTATACTATATATAAAAATATTAATTTTCGCGAACCATTTAGGTCACAGAAATTCCAAAATATGGCATCAGTAAGGAGAGTTGTACAAATAATATCAATAGACAGCACCCCGATCCAATGTATCTTTAGCTAAAAGTATTCATCATTTTCTGTTTTATATGTACTAACAACATTCCATTTTTCTATAATTTCGATTAAAATATTCTAAAACCTGCACTTAAAATAGGTCACATGCCCCAAATAAACATTCCTCTACTGGTTGAACTACTGTGGCCTCGATGTAAAGCAACGCAAGCCTCGATGTAAAGAACACGCTTCCCAAGAGTAAAGGAGGGTTGTATAAATAATATGAATACACAGAACTCCGATCCAATTCATCTTTTGCTAAAAGTGTTTATCATTTTCTGTTTTGTATCTACTTACAACATTTAATTTTTCTATAATTCCGTTTTAATTATGCCAAAACCTGCAGTAAAAATAGAGGTATGTCCCAACTTAACATTCCCCGATTGGTTGAACTGCTTTGGCCTCGATGTAAAGCAACGCAAGCCTTGATGCAAAGCACAAACTGAATTTTCCGTTGATACACAAAAATTTCCGTGAATATGTTGAACTTCGACCCCTGGATTCAACCGATTCACAAACAGAGATGTTCTAGCGCTCAAATGTAATTCTAAGTGAAGTATAATGGTAAAGTAAAATTCTAATCTTTTGCAGTAATATATACTCATTTTATCATTGATATATTGTCATGCTTCTGCATATTAACTTTTATTTCCGCTGAGCTATATTTAAATTGTATTCTATACAAATTTTGTTACGTCAAGCAATAGGAGTAAGAATTTTTCGCGCCAAAAAAAGAAAATAACCTGCAACATTAAACTATCATCATGTTTTTGATATTTCCAATAGAAAATAGCATTTGGTATCAGCAATTGTTGTAAGTATTACTTATTACTGTTAAGGTTCTCCATATCTGGTTCTCTTGATCTTATTGACGGTCAATTTAATCCCATTTATCAATTATCCCCGATGACACTTTTTTTTGACAGAAATGTCAACCCAGTCGATTTGTGTCATGGGTGAAAATCTTATCTATTTGATGAAATAATTTCTTCATTAACTGTACATACAATATTTTTGTTAACCGTATACAAACCCTTTGCATGTCTGCAAGGTAAATGGGTTATGTATGACTTGTGTTAATTGTGTAATTACAGTTATTGTGTAGATTTTGTCGTCAGTGCAGTGCGTGATCACGTGATATTATTATTTGTAAACATACGAGCTCCTGATGTAACAAGTGTCGGAATTATCCATACAAGGTGCAAACAATCTTATATTT